GGGGGGGGGGGGGGGGGGGTCACCTAGCCTCCAGCCTGCCTCCTGGACGGGGGTCGGGGGGTGGGTGGGATACCCTAAAGTAAAGTACAGCAAAGATGAGAAGACAGGGACAAAGGAGAAGAGAGAGATGAGGGGGGGCAGAGACGAAGGCCACACGCACAGGCTGGTTTATTGGCGCATCTCACACACACCAAATATGTACACAAACATAAATATTCCAATGTACACATTTACATGGGACTCGCAGGTCACCCCCCAGCGTCTGCCCCACCCAGGCTCTGTTTTAGGACGAGGCTCCCAGGGGGCCGGCACGAGCAGGCAGGAGCCTGGAGGAGGGCGAGGGCCTGCCCCCCTCTCCTCACAGCACCGCCAGAGGGTCCTGTCCCTTCTCAGTGGCGCCGGAGGGCAGGGGCCAGACCCCCCGCGACCCGTCCGCTGCAGCTCCAAGCCCGGCATCTCCTCGGACCGTCCTGTGCCTCCCGTTCGGCTCTTCCCATCTCCCTCTCCTTCCTCTCTGCATGTCCCCGCTTCTCAGTCTCTGTGTCTTTGTCTCTCCCAGCGCCCCTAGGGAGGTGGGTCCCCATGCCCTGGAGTCCTTGTGGCCCCTCTTCCCTCTTCCTGGGCCTTACAGGAGACTAGGGCTTCGGTGCAGCTCAGCGGAGGCGCTGCTGCCGTTGGCAGGCTCTCTGCTGGGGGTCGGGGCTAAGCTGCAGCCCTCCCCGGGGCAGCCATGCTGGATCAGGATGTCGGCGCACTCCTGGCTGCCGGCCCGGCGAGCATAGGCCAGCGGGGTCAGGCCCCGGGCGTCCCGGCTCCTCACGTCCACCCCGTACTGCAGAAGAAAGCGCGGTTGGCGGGACACGGCGGGAAAGGTGTGGGTTCCCGGGGAGAAAACGGAGAGGCGGCTCTCAGAGGGCTGGGGTGAGAGGGACGTCAGGGAGGTCAGGGGGCGCCTGCGGGGCGGGAGCCCCGACTCACCCAGATGAGCAGCTGCGTGAAGACGACGTTGGCCATGGCGCTGGAGAGATGCAGGGCCGTCCGCCCGTCCCCGTCCCCGTAGGTCTCGTTGACCTCTTCCTTGGACCCGTGGGCCAGGAGCGTCACCAGCAGCCGCAGGTCGTCTTCCACCACCGCTCGGAGCAGCTGCTGCCCCAGCGGCACATCCGAGCTGGGCAGCGGGGCCAGGAAGAGCTTCTGCTCGTACTTGGCCCGGATCCAACGCCCCTTCTCCTCTCTGCAGCACACGAGGGGCCGGGCCGGGGGTCAGGGGGGCGAGCCTGAGGGACCCGGGGGCGGCAGCGCGCAGCGGGCAGCGCAGAGGGTGTGGACGAGAGCTCCGGGGGCGGCCCCTGGGGGCCGAGAGGGCAGGAGGATTCCAGGCAGGGCTCGGGTGGCAGCTTATCTGGCCCTGCAGGAACAAAGGAGGCGGGGGCCCGCACTGGGGGCCCACGCACGACCCTATCTACCACCCATTCGCCCCATCTCAGAGCTCAGGCCGCGGCCTTCTCGCCACAGAGCGATAGGGCCCTGCGCATGCGCCTCCCGCTGGCCCCCTGACCTGCTGATAACGCTGAGAAAGGGCCCCGTTGTTGTGAGGCGCTGAGTGACAGGAGGGGGAGGGGCATCCCCAGGGGCCCACTGCCAAGCGGAGCAACGGCGGCTTTTAATTAACCCTTCCAGCCCTGTCACAGCTGCCCGGCCCCACCCCCAGTCCTCCCCACCTGGCAGGAGCGCCCACGTCCTCACCTGCAGGCGTCGGGCCCTGGCTTCGCGTAGCCATCCAGGGCCCCCTCCCAGACACTGTTGGCCAGGGCATTGCCCATCGCGGTCATGACGGCCAGCAGCTCAGGTGGCCAGTCATCGAGGTCGAGGGAGCGGACCCGGGACAGGTGAGCCCCCAGATGCCGGTGGGTGCCCGAGCACTCGATGCACATCAGGGCGCCCAGGTTCAGGCTGGCCCAGTCTGGATCTAGGTGCGGAGAGGAAGCAAGATGAAGCCCACGGGCAACCAGAGCGAGAGCACCAGGAAAGTCCTCCCCACCCCCGCCGCTGTCCTCGGCCTGCGAGGGGCCTCTTGCGGCGCTTGGCCGCGCTTTCCCTAAGCCACACCCACAAGTCCGGCCCGCAGGCCCGGCACTCACTGGGGGCGTCGCAGTCAATACAGAAGCTGTTGCCACGAACAGTGCGCACGGCCTGCACAGCCAGAGCTGCATTCTGGTTCCCCAGTCGAGTCTGCCTCGGGGGGAGAGGCAGGGGTGGCTGGTCAGTCGTGAGGCCGACCTGGGACCCCTCCCCCGACCCCGGGCCTCTGGGCCAACCTTGTCCTTGGCGCTGCGGCAGCCCTGCAGGCTGGCGAGGATCTGGGCCTGCACGCTCTGCACCCACAGTTCCCGCTCCTCCGCCGTCGAGGCCTCGAAGTGCCACGTCTGCCCGGTGAGGGACACCACCACAAACTCGAACGACTCCTCGGCCTCTGTGGGCACAGGGACACGCGCCGGCATGAGGGCAGAGGGCCCCTGCCGGCACGCACGTGCAGGGACACGCCACCCCAGCCTCGAGGACCGCTCTCTCTCCAGGGCACCTTGCGGGGAGTCGGGGGCAGAGCGCCGTGTGGAGCCCCCAGACCTCCATCCCAGCCACCTGCGGAGCCTGGGAGAAAAAGGTGGGGAAGCGAGGTTCTGGCATCCCTGGCGCTGCTGGGAATGGGTCTGGAAAGCAGAGGGTTGCTTCCTGGGGAAAGCAGAGCTGAGTATCTGGAGGATGTGATGGGGCGTTAGGAGACAGTGCTGGTGGGGGGGGGGGGTCAGCTGCAGCCGTCTCATTTTGCAGCTCATTAAACCCAATATTCCTGACGGCGTCAGCGTGGTGCTCCTGGGAGCCGGGCCCCTCCCCCGCTACCCTGGCACAGGCAGGCAGGGAGGGCAAGGGGATGGGGAGAGGAGGAGAGATTTCCTCCACAGACTAACTCGGATGCGTGAGCAGATAGGAACCTGAGGACATCTGCAGTGACAGACACTTCCCAAGCAGTGCGGTGACGCTGTTCCCAGCTCTGCTCCCCCAGGGCCCCCAGGAGACAGTCACGTGGATCTCCTTCCCGCCGGTCACCGCCCCGTGGGTGAACGGTTCCTAACAAGCAGTGCGAGTGTGTCGTGCGGCTGGAGAGACAGGTGCCTGTGAGGAGGCCCAAGTGAGACCACACGTCCTGCCAGGGCGGCCTCCCGCCCCAGTGACACTGGCCATGCCCTCCCCGCTCACCCCCACCGCCCACCAAGGGAAGTCCTCCTGGTGGGCTTCTGCTCTAAGGCGCCCTTAACGGAACTGTCTTCGTAGAGAAACTGGTACCCTTCTTTCCCCAGGCTCCACCATTCCACCTCACCTCGCTTGCAACCATCTCTGAACTACATAACGGTGACAGTCTGTGGGGTTCAGTTCCCTGGTACAGGTGCACCCCGTGCCGTGAGCGCTGAGCACCCCTGTGTCACCGGTTGGCTGGGAGAGGTGGCTCCTTCCCTTAGAGATGATCTCCCCCACCGAGCCACGCCCCTAACCCTGACCATCAGAGTATAGACCAGCAACTGTGCATCAATGTAGGTTAACCTTATTTAGGAGCAAGGACACTCCAACCACTGAGAAGAGGCACATTCTGAAGATACTCTGGGGAAGATCAGAGAAGCAACGCTATGATTAATAAGGGATTACGAGAAAGGACCTATGGAAGAGCAGCTGAGGAGCTGGAATCCCTCAGCCTAAAGACGACTACGGAGAGGCTCAGCCGAACACGCACGCGTATGAGGCGCCTGTTTTGCGCCCAGCACTGCTTAAACTCAATGGGTGACACAAGAGACACGGAAAACATGGGTCCTGCCCGCACCACCTTGGAAGAGCTGCGGGGGGAGCAGCGGCCTGCTGTCTTTTACCTTCTGTAAGAATAAAAGAAGCAAGGCTCACGTTTCCACAGGAAGGCTTTAAGTTAGGCAGAAGAAAGAGCTCTTCTAAGATACCAGGTTGAGGTGACCAGAAGCGGTGGAGCTGCTTTTACTGGGAATTACCATTAGAGAGTGCTTTTAACCTAATACAGAAAGGGGGACCCTTCAGGCACTACCCCCAAGTCCCGCTGCCCGCCTCCTGTGCCCCATTTCCCTCGCGGGTCCCCCTAACCTTCAGCAGCACCGCTGGGGCCGTCTGGTCGGGGGGTCCCGGTGCTCTTTTTCCTCCGGTGCTTCTTCCGGTTGGAGTGGGGAGATGGGGGAGGCTCCAGCTTGGGGCTGGAACTGAGCACCTCGGCTGGGCCACTGGCTGGTGAGGGAGAGGTGGAGAAGTGTGGGGAGAGGGCAGGGGCCAGCACAGGCCCTGCCCGGGGTGCTGGGGGCTCCACCCTGAACTACAGCCGGGGCAGGGGGAAGGGGGGGCACTCCCGCCCTGTCCGCACCCCGGGAGGGGTCTGCCCACAGACCCCAAGGCGCCCCCCGGCCCTGGAGGAAGGGAGGGTGGAGGAGCGAGTAGGAACCGCAGGCAGGGCAGAGTGAAGGTGCGCAGGGAACCGGCTTCTGCAGCCTGGAGGGCGGAAGGCGGCCGGGGGCTGGAGACCCAGCAGCTCCGCACCAAATTTATCCTCAATCACACTCCCCGCTCCTCACAATTAATAGCAGAATTAGAAACAATCAGGGAGCTGCCTAATTACTGTCAATTAGAGCGCGCTAATCAAGCTCCCGTCTCCCACACCCCGCCCGGCGCTCACCACTAAATGTCAAACTTCATTAGAGGCAGACACGCGCCCTCCCTCCCTGCCTTCCGCCTGCCAGACTCAACAGAGGGGCCGCACCAAGGCGAGCACAGGCCGCAGGACGGTGACCCGGGAAGGGCCCCCGGCTGCCCTCTCGGGCCTCCACGTCCACCCGCCGGAGGCCTGGGCCGGGCCGGGCCGGGCCAGGCAGGTGACGCAGGCCCCGGGGCCGTGGGCGCCCAGCCGCTTCCTGCTGTCAGAGCTCAGGCCGGGCTGGCGCTTCTGCTGGGATGCGGGCCTGGGCAGGGTCTCTGGGAGGCAAGCCGGGGAAGAGAGCTAACGCGCTGCCGCCCAGCAGGAGGGACGCGGGGGCAGCGGTGTGCCCGGCGCCCGGGGAGCCTCCTCCCTCTCACACCCTCACTTAGGAGAGGAGGCCGGGCTGCGCCCATTTCCCTCTAGCTTTCAGGACTGCTCATGGATGTGGGGCTACGGGTGAGTGAGGAGACAGCGCGGAGGTGCTGGCTGAGGGGGGGGAGGAGCAAGGGGATGACGAAGGGGAGAGGACCACGAGGCCAAGGAGAGCAGGCGCAGGTGGAAAGGGAGAGTTCTGGGGCCTCTGCCGATGGGGGCAGCGCGGGGGAGAAAGCACCTCTCCGGACAGCTCCCTGATCCTGTCTGCGGGGACCCCTCTCCACTGCCTTCGGAACGTGTTTCAGGCCCCCAGCCTCCGACCTCCCCACTCAGCCGCTCCCCGGCACCGGCCCCCCACCCACCCACCCCCCCGA